CCACCGCAGCCTCGACCTGCTGGACTCTGGCGATCCTTCCGCCTCAACCTTCCAAGTAGCTGGAACTACAGGCATGCGCTACCATGCCCGGCTGATTTTTTGGTTTTTTATTGTAGAGATGAGGTCTTGTCAAGTTGCCCAGGCGGGTTTCGAACCTGTGAGCTCAGGCAATCTACTCACCTCGGCCTCCCAAAGTGCTGGGATTACAGGCTGAGCCACTGAGCCCGGCCGGCTTTTTTTTTTTACGTTGGAGTCTCACTCTGTCACCCAGACTGGAGTGCAGTGGCCGCTGCCGGCCACCGCAGCCTCGACCTGCTGGGCTCTAGTGATCCTTCCGCCTCAGCCTTCCAGTAGCTGGAACTACAGGCCTGTGCCACCACACCCGGCTAATTTCTTTATTTATTGTAGAGATGAGAAGGGGCAGTTTCTTAAAGGTTAGTTGTAATGTGGACTCTGAAACTGTATCCGTGTACTTTTCATACTGTTACATTAAACATCATCAGTCTCTCTTGCTCTTTGAATGTTCCATTTGCTCAGGCATGATGTTGTAGGACCATACATTGGTCATTTGGAAAATACTGGCTCCTTGACTCGGGCAGATTTTCCAAATATTGGCACATGACGTTATGCAATATTATTTTTAAAACCATGTGTTAATATCACCACTGGTCTCGTCAGAAAAGCTATTCAGTATTGGGAAACCATTCAGGTTGTGGTGGCTCGTGTAAGTGTTCCGAGTCTGATTTTCATTTGGAAACTTGAATTCTGTCATTTGCAGCAAATTCTGTTAGCAGTTTTTCTGGAAATGAGAGGCTCACTTACTTTGTCTTCACAAAAATACACTATTACCCACAGGATTTTTGTCAGTCATTCTCTCAAATAAAAGTTTGAAGAAAGTGGCTAGTTCAGCTCACAGCTCAGTCACATGGAAGCCTTTCCTTTGCTAGTGGCCAAGCTTCAGTGTGCAGGAGTGCTTCCTATCCATCACACGAATCTGAAAAGGATGTATGCTCAAAGGTTGAAGTTTTCATAAAATTAATAATTTTTACTGCTTCATCAAAGACATTCTTAGATTAAACTGGTGATCTTTCTAATGAGTAAGTGGCTTTGCATGAACCTGTGACTGTTGGTGTAGTTGGGGGCTTGGCCTTGACGAGTGCTGCGGGCCAGCATTTTCACTCACCGGTGCAACTATCAACACTGTGCAAAAGGCAAACAATGTCTTACTGTTATTCCAAAGATAGTTTTGACCTTATAGGCCTCTCTGTGAAGGTCTTGGGGACCCCACAGTCCCTGGGCTGTGCTGTGACACCCACTGTTGAGATGCAGCCTCAGCCCTATGTAGATCTGGGCTGGGCTCATGCTCCAGCTCCTTTGAGTCTTTCCTGAATGTGAGGCATTCCCTGACCTCCACATTGAAAACTAGCCCTCCTTCCATCCCTTAGCCCCAGCCCTGGCCTCCTCCCCATATCCCTTGTCTCTGTCTAACATGCTTTATTATTGTTCTTCATTTTGTCTGCCTTCCTCTGCTAAGATATAAGCTCAGGACGGCAGAGATTTTGAGCTGTCTTGTTTATTGCTGTATTCCCAGCACTTAGTGTAGTATCTGGCATATAGATGGAATGAATGAATGACTGTACCTGGGGGGCTAGTTTTCTGGCATCTCCTGGCATGCCCTTGACTCCCTCCCACCCCCACCTGCCCTTTGTCCTGATCGCCTCTGCTGACGTGTCTGCTTTCCCTGGCTCCTCAGCCAGTGCTGCCCCATACCGCCGTGTGCCTTGTGTGTGGCGAGGCGGGGAAGGAAGACACGGTGGAAGAAGAGGAAGGCAAGTTTAACCTCATGCTCATGGAGTGCTCCATCTGCAATGAGATCATCCACCCTGGATGCCTTAAGGTGAGCAGCCTATGGGGGCCCTGAGTGTGCGGCTTGACTCGGGGCTGGTGGTACTGGCTGTGCGGGGTAGGGTAAGGCAGGGGCGTAAGTAGTGTGGCAGATTCCTGGAGGACCCTCATGTGATTCTGTGTGTCGAGTGATGGGGCCAGGCCATCACTGGAACAGCTCAAACACCCAGTGTTACTGAGGGAATGAACACACCCCTCCACCTCCTGGGATGTCAGAACTATGGAAGGTTCCCAGTGTCTCAGCACACAAAAAACGGGCTACTTGTTTGCACCTGGGCTGGAGAGAGAGAGACTCCAGGAGGCTGGGCTGCTCCCTGGAGTCCGGTCTCCAGGCTTCTGGGAGGGCAAGGCCTGGGGTCAGGGAGGGCAGATCCTGAGACAACAGGTGGTTGTATTCCTGCTCCTTTGCGCCAGGAACATGTTCCCTTGTTGTGCCCAAGGCAGAGCTACCTTCTCCTGGGCGGCCGCTGTGCTGTGCCTGCCTGTCCTAGGCAGTAGATTCCACCTTGGAAAGGAAGAGACCACTTTGGGCTGGCACCTACCTTCTGCCCAAGAGAATGTTGTCATCTCTGGCACTGCCCCATTGGCCCAGGTGTCAGACCCCGTGTGTCTTTGTTTTACAGAAGTCCAAGTTCTTTGGCTCTGACATGGCCACTGTCCCTCACAGTGGTGGTTGTAGGAGTTTGCTTTGACCTTTGCTTCTTACTACACACGCACACAAACACGTCACCCCCAAGGAGCTGCTGGGATTTCCTTGACTTTGGAAGTCAGCCCTTTCTTCACTTAATTGTCTTTCATTTCTCTCCCAGTTCACGTGCTCCTTGAGGGCAGGGACAGCCACATCTGATTCTTTCACACCTGGCACACAGTAAAGCGCTCTGAATTGACTGAACAATTAGTTGGGTTCTTTCTGTGTGCCAGGCCCTGAGCTAATTGCTTTATCTGGGTCATCAGTGAATTCTTGCAAACCTCCAGCGAGACGGGAACACCAGCTCTTTTATGGTTGAGGGCACTGGCATACAGAACGAAGTGATTTGCCCAGGGTCACTGAGAGTCAGAAGGGCGCGGCATTTGAACCCTGGCCACAAGCCAAAGCCCCTGGCCTCAGCCAGCCCATGCAGTGCTTCTCTTTTGACTAGAAACAGATACACGCTGGGGAGGGGTCTGTTTCGTGTTTCTGGCCTCCAGAGACCTGTGCTGGTGAGGCCTCTTCTTGGCCCTTCCCTGCTTGCTGAGTCCTGTGTGTCCCTGCAGATTAAGGAGTCAGAGGGTGTGGTCAACGACGAGCTTCCCAACTGCTGGGAGTGTCCGAAGTGTAACCACGCCGGCAAGACCGGGAAAGTGAGTGCCGGGCTCCAAGTCCCAGGGACAGTCGGGAGGGACCAGCCTGTCCCGATCCGGCAGGCGGGGGGGGGCCTGGGCTTGGGCAGGAGGAAGGGCAAGTCCAAAGATATACAGCTGGTTTGTTCCTTCTCTCTTTTTGGCCTACAAGCAAAAGCGTGGCCCTGGCTTTAAGTACGCCTCCAACCTGCCCGGCTCCCTGCTCAAGGAGCAGAAGATGAACCGGGACAACAAGGACGGGCAAGAGCCTGCCAAGCGGAGGAGCGAGTGTGAGGAGGTGCCCCGGCGCAGGTCGGACGAGCACCCCAAGAAGGCGCCCGCGGACGGCATCCTGCGCAGAAAGTCCGACGACGTGCACCTGAGGAGGAAGCGGAAATACGAGAAGCCCCAGGAGCTGAGTGGACGCAAGCGTGTACGGACTGGGAGGGGCCGGGCGGCGGAAGGGGTGGCCCTGCGGTCCGGTGCCGGGATGGTGGGGTGGGGGCGGGGGAGGGGCAGCGGGTAGAACCCGGGATCCTGGCCTCTTGCTTCCCTGAGCAGGTCACCTCAGTCCTGAGAGCCCGGCCCAAAAGAAAGGGGAAAACCAGCGAGTCACTCCTCTTCCCACTCCCTTTAGGCCTCGACGCTTCAAACGTCCCCCGGTTCCTCCTCTCACCTCTCGCCGAGGCCCCCTCTAGGCAGCAGCCTCAGCCCTTGGTGGAGATCCAGTCTCACTTACTTCCAGCAGCAGGTGCTCCCACGTCGCCCCGCCCTCCCGAGGCCCTGGGGACTTGTGAGTCCCGGGCTGCCCCCCACCCCCACCCCACTGGTCCTCCAAGCCATCGCCACCTCTCCCGAGGCGCCTGTTCTCGGTGTCCCAGGCCGCGGTCCCAGAGCTCTGGCTCGTGGTTCTGGCGCGGGGCCCGGGAAGCTCGCTCTGGTTGGGATCGAAGCTGCAGCAGGGAAGCCTTGAGTCCAGGGAACCTCAGAGGATCCTGGCGGCCCCGCCCCACCCACCAGGCCTTGCCGCCACCGGCCACAGGGTGGCGCCTGGAGTCTCCCAGCTCTAGCCACTCCGGCTTGGCTTGGGACTTGGCTTGGGAATGCCCGAAGGCCTGCGCTCCAGAGCTGGCTCCCAGAGCCAAGGCTGATGAGAATGGGCGGCTGCACATCTCTGGGTCTGCCCAGGGTGGGAGGTCAGTTGGGTGGGAACAATTCGACCGTGCTCCTCTACTTCCATCTTCTTCCTTGAAAGCAGCAGGCAGGGCCCACCTGTCTGTTGGTCAGACGTGAAGGAGACGGCATCTGGGGGGAAGGGGTCCCTCCAGCCCTTCCTAGAGACTGGATGGGGTGGGACAGGGTAGGGTGTGGAGGGGACCAAATCCCACGAGCCCCAGGAGCAAACTCTGCATCCTTTCTTTCCTGTGACAGCTGAAACCTGGCAAAGAAGATAAGCTTTTCAGGAAAAAGGTACCGTCTTTCTCTCCCAGGGCTGGGAGGTCAGAACTGCAAGGCAGCGCCCTGGGCCACAGTCCTACGGCAGAGGGGCGGGAGGTCTTGGGTGGGCGCAGTCCTGAGTCCTGGAGGCTGACTCTCCCACCCTCCTGCATCTTGCCCTCAGCGGCGGTCCTGGAAGAACACTGAGGACCGGATGGCGCTGGCCAACAAGCCCCTACGCCGCTTCAAGCAGGAACCAGAGGATGATCTGCCTGAGGCACCCCCAAAAACCAGGGAGAGCGATCACTCACGCTCCAGCTCACCTACTGCCGGGCCCAGCACCGAGGGGGCTGAGGGCCCGGAGGAGAAGAAGAAGGTGAAGATGCGTCGGAAACGGCGGCTTCCCAACAAGGAGCTGAGCAAGGAGCTCAACCACGAGATCCAGAAGACGGAGAGCAGCCTAGCTGACGAGAACCACCAGCCCATCAAGTCGGAGCCCGAAAGTGAGAATGAGGAGCCCAAGAGGCCCCTGGGCCTCTGTGAGCGCCCCCATCGCTTCAGCAAGGGGCTCAACGGCACCTCCCGGGAGCAGCTGCGGCACCAGCTGGGGCCTGGCCTGCGCAGTCCACCCCGTGTCATCTCCCGGCCCCCACCCTCCGTGTCCCCGCCCAAGTGCATCCAGATGGAGCGCCATGTGATCCGGCCGCCCCCCATAAGCCCCCCACCTGACTCACTGCCCCTAGATGATGGGGCAGCCCACGTCATGCACAGGGAGGTGTGGATGGCCGTCTTCAGCTACCTCAGCCACCAAGACCTGTGTGTCTGCATGCGGGTCTGCAGGACCTGGAACCGCTGGTGAGCGGCAGGCCGTGTTGGGCTCTAGGTTAAGGCTCAGACTGTACCAGGGATGGCCCATGTGTGGCATGTCATCCCCATTTGAGTCACTTGTGGCACCCTTTCCTTCTAAGTTGTCGTATAGCTTAAGTATGCTCTGTAAAGAATTCCAGGTGGCTCTAGCAGTCCCATCAGTCTGGTCTTGTCAGAGGACAATACCACACTTGTTTCCTTCCTGATTGAGCTCTCTGGAAGGTGAAGTAAGGACCAAGTCCTTATCTTTAGAGAACAAGGCTGCAAATCACTGACTTCAATCCAGCTTGATATTTACCAGCTCTCTGGCCTTGGCTGTTCCTTACTCTCATATACAAACAGGCAAGACACCTGCTGCACAAGGTGGTTTGAAGGCACAGCCCATAGAGGACATGGTAGATGCCTTGGTAAATGTTTGATGGAGAGCGGGTGCTGGCATCTTCTACTGGAGTTCTGTGGCCCTCGGGGCAGAGATGCCTGTGTGTGGGCTGGACAGGTGCTAAGCAGAGAAGGGTCCATTGGGCTGAGTTTAGGAGCCTCCCCCTGAGGCTGGTAGGTAGGAAGAGTTACTATACCTATGCAGGGGCTCCTCAAGGGAGCCCTGCCTCTGACAGTGTCACCCCACTTGGCCTGGCCCGCAGGTGCTGCGATAAGCGGTTGTGGACCCGCATCAACCTGAACCACTGCAAGTCCATCACGCCCCTGATGCTGAGTGGCATCATCCGGCGACAGCCCGTCTCCCTTGACCTCAGCTGGACCAACATCTCCAAGAAGCAGCTGAGCTGGCTCATCAACCGGTTGCCTGGTGAGCCCTGGGTGGGACCCCATGTGTGTAGCAGTGGCAGCTAGCGGTGCATCCCCTGACCTGTACTCCTTTTTTTGTTCCCCAGGACTCCGAGACTTGGTGCTGTCAGGCTGCTCGTGGATTGCGGTCTCGGCCCTCTGCAGTTCCAGTTGTCCATTGCTCCGGACCCTGGATGTCCAGTGGGTAGAAGGACTGAAGGATGCCCAGATGAGGGATCTCCTGTCCCCACCCACAGACAACAGGCCAGGTAAGTTGCTAGGCCAGGGATTGCATGGGGGTGGGGTGACCAGGCTATGCTGTGGGATCTGCTTTTGCCCACAGACCCCAGTAGATGCATGTGGCGAGTCTTCTCGGACCTCAGCCCTTCCCTGGAGGAAGGAGGGATGAGTTTTCACTGCTGCGTTGATTGCTTTGGGCACCGAGGGGATCCTGCAGGAGGCAGAGGCTCTTTGCACATGCAGGACTCCACTCCAGGGGGCTCTGCATGCTTCTCACTGCTTCTCCATGAGGACTGGAGTTACTGTGGTTGAACAAGGACTCACGGGGTGGTGTTCTCCTGGGTGGGGCTGCCTGCGTCCAGTGCTCCTTGCCAGTTGTTGAAACAAGCGAGCTGCAGGCATCCAAGATGCTATGTTGTCTCTGCGCCAGTTAGCCCATGACTGTTAGGTAGAAGGTGGACTGAGTATTTCTAGGTCTTCTTGTTTTCCAAGAGAATCCAGAAATCTAAATTCTTGCTTTTATTTATTTATTTATTTAATTTATTTATTTACTTATTTTTTGAGTTGGAGTCTCACTCTCGCCCAGACTGGAGTGCAGTGGCCGCTCCCGGCCACCGCAGCCTCAACCTACTGGGCTCCGGCGATCCTTCCGCCTCAGCCTTCCAAGTAGCTGGAACTACAGGTGCACGCTACCACGCCCGGCTAAGTTTTTGATTTATTGTAGAGATGAGGTCTTGCCAAGTTGCCCAGGCGGGTCTCGAACCTGCGGGCTCAAGCAATCCACTCACCTCAGCCTCCCAAAGGCGCATGATTACAGGCTGAGCCACCGAGCCCAGCTTAAATTCTGGTTTTTAAATGTTGGAATTCTGACTTTACTGGGAAGCACTTTATGGCTAAATGAAATCCAGGTGTCACATAAGGCTCATAGGCCTTTTAGAGCGTCATGTCAGCATGACCAGATCTCCCTGGTCAGACTGATGGGCTGTCCTCTCTTTCCTGGCCCACCAGGTCAGATGGACAATCGGAGCAAGCTCCGGAACATCGTGGAGCTGCGCCTGGCAGGCCTGGACATCACGGACACCTCCCTGCGGCTCATCATTCGCCACATGCCCCTGCTCTCCAAGCTCCATCTTAGTTACTGTAACCACGTCACTGACCAGTCCATTAACCTGCTCACTGCTGTTGGCACCACCACCCGAGACTCCTTAACCGAGATCAATCTGTCAGGTGAGTCAGGAGCCCTCATCAGGTCTGCCCAGCACCCTGTGGGACAGACTAGGAGTTTCACATTTGTTGGAAGTGATTTGTGTGCCCACAATGATGTGGTCACAATGCCAGGACATGCCAGCAAAGACAGCCAATCCATTCCAGAGTTACTGTTGGATTTAAGCAGTTATTGTTGGATTTGTAATCGTTGCTACCAAAAAATAGAGCTGGTTAGCAGCAGGTACACATAGTTCTGTTTCTGACTCAAAACACATGCACTAGGAACTGTCCCTAAGGGTGTGCAGAGGAATCAACATCTGACAGCATGTGGGACAGCAGGGGGCCAGGAGGTGAGGGCTCTGACAGGCAGGCAGGAGCTTGATTTCTGCCTTTACTGTCTTCATACACACCCTTCATGACCCTGCTATCAAAGGGCCTGTTGATGGAGGAAAAAAAGGAAAGCCCTCCAGTTTCATGATTGTTCTGTGTCTGTCACAGACACTGCAGAACCCTCACAGGCTCCACTGGCTGAAGGACTTGAGGCTCGACTGTGCAGCGCAGAGGCAGCACTGCCTGTTCTTGCCCACTAACCCATTGTTGGTCTGGTAGCTCTTAGATGGTCTGGGCTGGGGGTGTCAGGTTTGGAGAAACCAAAAAAAGAAGGAAAAAAGAGAAATAAACCTGTAGGTTTTTGTCTAGAAATTACCAACTACTAAAGGACACCCTCATCTCAGATTACATTGTGACACAGTACAGTGGTGATGCTTTTGCCTCTCTGCACCCCACATTTGTGCCTGATGTACACTTTCTGTCAGCCATGCCACAAGGGGATGGGAGGTTTGGACGGGATGAGATCATTCTGTACCTTTGTCCTTAGGAAGCCAGTCTTCCTTCTCATGAAGTTTTAGTTTTGTGACTTGTCCCACCCCATGGAGGCAAAGAGCCAGAGTGAACATGAGACGTCACCACAGTGATACCAGCTCCAGGTTCAGGTCGTGGGTTTGAGCTGGTGATAGAACTGCCCTTTGGAGAAGGGACCAGGAGGTGTCTTACTCTTAGGACTTGATTTCATATTATTTTCATTATGTTCTAGTTTACTCATTTACTTATTATGGATTCATAGCAGAGACCACAGTATAAATCCCCTCCCCTGTAGTAGTGGTCTGTGTGTGTGTGTGTGTCATCCTTTGCATTTTGGTTTTCTACCACAGTAAATTGAGGTCATCTTTTCATCTCAGTGCTTACAGCTTTCTGCATTCTTGCTAAGAGGTGTGCAGTATATTAAGGCATGTCTCTATGTAGTCTCTTCTAGATTAAAAGAAAAAATATTTCCCCTCCCATCAGACAAAATAAGTCTGTACTGATTCAAGCACCAGAGACAGGGGACAAAAAAATAAGTCTGTGCCACAAACAGATGATAGCTGACATGATTCAGAATCCATAAACTTGGTTGAGGGGTCTGGACTCATGGCAAGTGAAGTTACAATTCTAGCCATTGTAATTCAGGCTGAGTTTCATCGTGGAAATGTCCACTGGGGGCTCGAGGCAGTCCTTTGCCTTTCCCTTCTCCACCCCTAATTCCCACCACCTTAAACTTTAAGGCAACACCTTAAACTCTTGAGCTCTTTCTTCCAGTGTCTACCTCCGTATTACAAAATTGCTATTTTGTAATTGCTATTTTGTAATATGGAGGTAGACACTGGAAGAAAGAGCTCAAGAGTTTAAGGTGTTGCCTTAAACATTGCAATTTCTTGACTTTTTTCTCCATTCAGACATCACATATGTATGTATTAGCTTGGTATTATATTGCACAAGGATTTACTAGTGTTACATTCTTCCTCCTCTTTTATTCCTCCCTCTATCTTTCAGTTTTTGGTTGTCACTATTATTTACCTTATTGTGACACTGTAAGTTACTAGTAACTGTTAAATATTATGAGTACCTTTCCTTTCTTGCTCAATTTTTTTGTTTTTGCTAAAAGTTAATAATTGCCTCGCTTTGTTAGCTTAGTTTCTGAGCAGGCTGTACAACAGAATGGAATATCCTTTTTTTTTTGACAACTTACTGTTCCTTGAGCCTGTGCTCAACCAGTCTTGTTTCTAAATCCTGTCCTTAGCCCCATCTCCATGTGCCTGTTGCTTCCAATACAGAATTCCAATTTTCTTCAAAATCTTGTCCCCTTTGGGGTGTTTTGGAGACTAAATATGCTTTTCTGTTTTTCATTCAGCCAGTTTAGGGTTAGGCTTTCTCAAATTTACTAAATTGTTATCTCTTGTCCAGCTTCCAAAATTAGAAAATTAGTTTTTTTATTGGGGAAAAACAGATACATAATATTGAGCATTTAAACCATTTTTAAGTGTATAATTCAGTGGCATTAGGTATATTCACAGTGTTGTGCAACCAACATCCATCTCCAGAACTTTTTTTTTCTTTTGAGACAGCCTCTGCATTGCCCAGGCTAAACTCAAACTGCAGGGCTTAAGCAGTTGGCTCTCTTTCACCTCCTGAATAGGTATACCCCAGGTGGCCAGCACTACTTCGTCACCCCAGATGAAAACTATGCATTAAACAATAACTCCCCATTCCCCATGTGCCCAGTGCCTGGCAACCACCATTCCACTTAAGTTTATAAACAGCGTTTGACTGCTTTAGATACCTCATATAAGTGGAATCATACAGTCCTTTTTTGACTGGCTTATTTCATTTTGCCTAGTATCTGCAAGGTTCATCTACATTGAGCTATATGTCAGAATTTCTTTGCGTTCGAAGGCTAAAGAAATATACTGTTGCATGTATATACCACATTGTGTTATCCATTCATTTTTGATGGGCACTCCAGTTGTTTCCACCTTTTGACTATTATAACTACTGCTGCTATGAATCTGCTGTACTGATATCTTGTTTGAGTCCCTGACTTTCAGTTCTTTTGAGTATATAGCTAGAAGTGGAATTGCTGGACCATAAGATATTTCTGTTTAATTCTTGAGGAACTGCCATGCTGTATTCCATGGTGACTGTACCATTTTATCTTCTTACCAGCTGTGCACAAGAGTTCTAACTTCTCTACATCCTCACCAACACTTGTTACTTTCTCTTTCTTTTTTCGTAATTGCTATCCTAATGGGTAAGAAGTGGCATCTCATTGTGGTTTTGAGCTGTATTTTCCTAATGATTGGTTACACTGAGCATCTTTTTATGTGTTTATTTGCCATTTGTTTATCTTCTTTGGAGAAATGTCTACTTGAGTTCTTTGCCTTTTTTTTTTTTTTTTTTTTTGGAGTTGGAGTCTCACTCCATCATTCAGGCTGGAGTGCTGTGGCATGCTCACAGCCATCCCAGCGTCGACCTACTGGACTCCAGTGATCCTTCCGCTTCAGCCCTCCAAGTAGCTGGAACTATAGGTGTGCGCTACCACACTTGGCTAATTTTTTGATTTATTGTGGAGACAAGGTCTCACCATGTTGCCCAGGCTGGTCTCAGATCCATGGACTCGCCTCGGCCTCCCAAAGTGCTGGGATTGCAGGCTTGAGCCACCATGCCTGGCCTTTGCCCATTTTTTTAATCAGGTTGTTTTTTTGTTGATTTGTAGGAGATTTTTATATACTCTGGATGTTAATCTCTTATCAGAAACAATGATTTGTAGATATTTTTTCCCCTTCTGTGGGTGGCTTTTTCACTTTCTTATGCACAAAAATTTTTACTTTTGATGAAGTCTAATTTATCTTTTTCTTTTGTTGGCTATGATTCTGGTGTTATATCACAGGAATCACTGCCAAATCTAATGTCATGAAGGTTTACCCCTATGTCTTCTTGTAAGAGTTTTATAGCTTTAGCTCATGTGTTTAGGTCTTTTTTTTTTTTTTTGAGTCCAAGTATCATTCTGTCACCCAGGCTGGAGTGCAGTGGCAGAGTCATGACTCACCAACCTCCTGGACTCAGGTGATCCTTCTGCTTCAGCCTTCTGAGCAGCTCTAGGACTCAAGCACACACCACTATACCTGGCTAATATTTTTTATTTTGTAGAGACGGTGTCTCACTGTGTTGCCTAGGCTGGTCTGAAACTCCTGAACTCAAGCAGTCCTTCCACTTCAGCCTCCTAAAGTGCTGGGATTAAAGGCATGAGCAACCATGCCCAGCCCTTTGAATCATTCTGAGTTCATTTTTTCATATGGTGGGGGTCCAGCTTCATTCTTTTACATGTTGATAGCCAAATTTCCCAGCACCATTTATTGAAACAATTGTTTAGTCTCTCATTGAATGATGTTGGCATCCTTGTCAGAAATCATTTGACCATATATTGAGGGTTTATTTGTGGGCTCTTGGATTTTTTATTTTTTAAGAAAGACAAGGTCTTGTTCTGTTGCTCAGGCTGGGATGCAGTGGCACAACTGTAGCTCACTGCATCCTTGAACTAATGGGCTCAAGCAGTCCTTCTGCCTCAGCCTTCCAAGTAGCTAGGACTACAGGTGCATACCCATACCCAGCTAATTGAAAAATTTTTTTTTTGTAGAGACAAGGTCTCACTATGTCGCCCAGGCTGGTCTTGATTGATTACATTCCATTGTTTGTTTGTTTGTTTGTTTTTTTCAGTCGGAGTCTCACTCTGTCGCCCAGACTGGAGTGTAGTGCCCGTTCCCGGCCACCGCAGCCTCGACCTGCTGGGCTCCGGCGATCCTTCCGCCTCAGCCAAGTAGCTGGAACTACAGGCGCGCGCTACCACGCCTGGCTCATTTTTTGATTTATGGTAGAGATGAGGTCTCGCCTGCCCAGGCGGGTCTCGAACCCGCGGGCTCAGGCAGTCCACTCACCTCAGCCTCCCAAAGGCATGGAATTGCAGGCTGAGCCACTGAGCCCGGCTTGATTTTATGTTTTAAATGCTTTTCAAACTATAGAAGAATCAGAAGAATAGTATAAGTATGCATACCCTTTCCAGCTAGATACAGCAATTGTCGGTTTTGTGCCACATCCGCTTTATCGCTTTGCACGGCTTTTTCTTCGTCATTTGAAAGTTACAGGCCAGGCGTGGTGGCTCACGCCTATAATCCCAGCACTTTGGGAGACCAAGGTGAGAGGATTACTGAGCCCAGGGATTTGAGACCAGCCTGGGCAACTTGGTGAGACCTTATAACTACAATAAATCGAGAAAAATTAGCTGGGCATGGTGGCACACACCTGTAGTTCCAGCTACTGGGAAGGCTGAGGCAGAAGAATCGCCTGAGCCCACCAGCAGGTCAAGGCTGTAGTGGCCATGCTCATATCACTGTACTCTAGCCTGGGCGACAGAATGAGACTCTGACTCAAAAAAAAAATTGCTTTCTAAGAATAAGGACATTAACTATAATAGTGCTGTCATACCCAAGAAGACAACTGAAAACCAAATGTGATCTTTTGCTCCTGACTTGGACTGAAGATGGGAGCAGTGACAAGGATGCCGACGGAAGTCATGTTTTTCCATGGGCTAGCGGTAGGCAGGATCTGCGCCAGCAGGAGACACCCGCAGCCGCCTGTGGAGGGCCTGAGCAGCTGGTGCAGTGAAGCCTAATGCACCAAGGAACTCCTCACAGGAAAGTCTTTTCCATCCATCTTCCTTGGTGGAAGAAGGGTCTTTGAACGCCTGTTTCAGGGGATATTTGAACCACGAGCTGGGCACAAGTGAGCCTCCAAAGAGGGGCCAAAGCCATCTGCCCAGAGTCAACGCAGAAAAGGAGCGAGCTGGGACTCCAGATCACACTTCATGCTGTCCAAGTGCCGACAGGTAACTGCCAGGATGCACTTGAGGCTCCTTCAGCCATCTGACAGCTGCAGGGTACAGCAGTGTGCCAGCTGGATGGCAGAGTTCTCTGGGTAGGAGCTGCCTGCTCTGGTGCTTGAAGGTACCGAGGGAGAGGCAGGACTTGGGTCAGGCCTTTCTAGCTGAGAACTGGGAGAATATTTCAGGGGAAGAGCACCCTGAGCTGGTGATTGGTGAGGACAGCAGAGTGGGACCTGAATGAAGAATGAGGTGCATTATGGGATTGGAAGTAGACAGTGCTCTGGAAGGCAGGCAGGGAGCTGGGATGGGGAACGGGATCAATCTGGAAGATTCTGAGGGTGACAGGAGGGGCAGTCAGCAGAGGGGCCGCAGGGCGTGGGGCCCCTCTGTCCTGTGCATATTCTCTGACCTGCAGAGTAGAGCTCTAGGGCTGGGAACTCATCCTAAGGAACATGATTTTATGCTGAAAACGTCTCTGCTGAATCTAAGCAAGCCTGGACCTGATAGGAAAAAGGGGGTAGAGAATAAGAAGAATGACACCATAGAGACAACGAATATCCTGAATGTGAGGCATTCTCTTAAGAAAATGTCCTGGGCCCGGCACAGCAACTCATACCTGTAACCCCAGCACTTGGGAGGCTGAGGCTTGAGTCCAGGGGCTTGCGACCAGCCTGGGCAACATAGTGAGACCTCATCTCTACCAAAAGCATCACAAAAATTAGCCAAGCATGGCGGTAGCACCTGCAGTCCTGGCTACTCAGGAGCTTTGGCAGGTGGTCACCGGAGCCCAGCAGGTCGAAACTGTGGCGAGCTGTGATTGGGCCACTGCACTCCAACCTAGGCAACCAAGTGAGATCCGGACTCCAAGGAAAGAAACCCATCTTGGACACTTCTAGAAGTTAATATGAGGAGGGCTGAGACTAGCGGACTCTAAGCCCAATGTAAGCAGCTCTTGCTGTCGAAAGACGGTTGATATCAGAAAAGCCCTGTTCAATTAGGGCCCATATATCATAGCAAATGGTGGAAAAGGAAACATGTGAAAGCAAACATATTTTATCATTCTGAGCAGAGTCAGGGTCTCTGTCCCCTCAACTGGAATGCAGTGGCACAGTAAGGGCTCACTGAACCTTGAGCTCCTGACCCCAAGTGATCCTCTCTCCTCAGCCTCCCAAGTAGCTGACACTACAGGTATGCACTACCACATCTGGCTAATTTTTTAAAAATTCTTTGTAGAGAGGAGGTCTTACCATATTGCCCAGGCTGGCCTCAAACTCCTGGCCTCAAGTGATCCCCCTCAGCCTGCCAAAGTGCTGGGATTACAGGAGAGAGCCACCACGCCCAGCCAAAATCCCTCTTCTTTATACTTAAAGTGAATCAAGTATTGGAGTGGGGGAGGCATGAGCTTTCTGAAAGAAAAAAAAAAACAGGTGTTTTATCCTTGCAGCATCCTGTCAGCATCCTCAGCAGTTCTTCTTCAGTCTGACTGCCCGGCCCTCACTTGCCATTGGGTGTGCTTGTGCAGCTGTCTAGAACCACTGTTCCTGGTCCTTGAATTCTGTCTTTATGAGATTGAGTTTCCTTGTACCATGCACCCAAGAATTGGCGAGCACTGTGTGATGATGATCTGTGCCAACATAAGGGCGCTGTTGGAACGGGCTGATTGTATGAAGGTGGTCAGCTCGTCAGTGGGTTGTGTGGTACTGACTTGACCTTCTCACCGCACCACCCCACCTGCTGGACTTTGATAGGATGTCAGTAGCACAGGCTCCGTCCCTGTGATTGCAGATTGCTCTGTTTTTATTCCCACTCAGTGTAATGGAAAAATGAGAATGCTGATATGAGGGATGGTTAGCAGCAAAGGTCTCAAAATACTGTTGAAAGATAAGAGTGATTCGTCCTGCCCAGAGTCTTAGCTGGATGCTGACTAGCACTTGAGCCAGTTGACTGTGGGTTCGGTTCTAGAAGATAAGAGTACGACGAAGGGAAAGCATCGACTGACAGCAGTGTGGTCAAGTGCTGTGTCTGGAGGAGGGAGAGGCGGAGGAGCCCGAGTTCTGCCTCTGCTCTCCAGCTCCGTCTGGCCTTCTCCTCGGCGGCCGTCCTGGGGCCAGAGAGGAATGTTAGCACCTGTGCCGCCCTGTGCTCCGAAACACTAAGGCCCCGGGAGCAAAATGGACCGCAGGGTACCCTTACAGGTATTTTGGCTGTGACCCAGTGATCCCCCCCAGAATTCATCTGAAGGGAAGAGGCAGATAAATGTACGATAATGTATATAAAGCAGTATTCATCGACAGTGCATTAGATGAGCAGGGTGCAGTGGCTCACGCCTGTCATCCCAACACTTTGGGAGGCCAAGGTGAGAGGACTGCCTGAGCCCAGGGGTTCGAGACCAGCCTGGGCAACATGGCAAGACCTCATCTCTACAATAAGTCAAAAAACTATCTGGTGGTACATTCCTGTAGTTCCAGCTACTTGGAAGTCTGAGGCAGAAGGGTCACCTGAGACCAGCAGTTGAGGCTGCGGTGGCCGTGAGCGTGCCACTGCACTCCAGCCTGGGCGACAGAGTGAGACGCCAACACTCAAAATAGTACATTAGATGAAAAAAATAGTACATTAGATGAAAAAAAGGAAACGACTTGACTTATTGTGACTTTCTTAGGTAAACCACAGATAGGAGACATATTTATGTGAGGATGCTTGCATATAGAGATGGCCCTGTGGCAGGATTGTCGGTGACTTTCACTTGGTACAGTCTGCATGCTTTTCGAGCATACAGTAACCTTTTTAACTGATGGGTGAAACTGTTCCCCATTGGAAGAGAGCTTTGAAGCAAATACCATTTCTTTAGGGCAGCAGGGGCGGGAATACGCAAGAGTTCTGTCCTGCCCCCGCTGCTGAGCACTGGGGTCTGGGGACCTGCAGGCCCCTCACCATGTGTCCCTCACGTCATTTCCTCTTCCCTACAGACTGCAATAAGGTCACTGATCAGTGCCTGTCCTTCTTCAAACGCTGTGGAAATATCTGTCATATTGACCTGAGGTACTGCAAGCAAGTCACCAAGGAAGGTTGTGAGCAGTTCATAGCCGAAATGTCTGTGAGTGTCCAGTTTGGGCAAGTGGAAGAAAAACTCCTGCAAAAACTGAGTTAGTCCAAGGACAAGTATGTAAATATGGGGCGGGCGGTGGGGGTCACAGCCGGGGAGGGAGAAAGACTTTACAAAAATGAGGGCTTTTATTTTCCATTTGGAACTTGAGAAAAGAGACCACAGAGATTCCATTTTGCAAGCCTTTCCAAGGGAGAGAGAAGCCGTTCAACTACCTGCTGGGGATGCGTGAGCTGGACGCTTTCCTTTGGTCGTTCTGAATCGTGACTGCACTGCTTCCTGGACCATTTCTAAGGCGGCCTTTACAAGACATTCCCGTCGATGAGAAGGATGGACCGTAGAGAAATCCTCATCAAAGCACGAGCTTAGGAGTTTTTGTCATTGGTGGTGTTCTGGACCCCTCATTCCTTGCAACTTCAAGGTTTTTGGTGTCGACATAAAGTGGACCACACACCACACCTTCCGCTGTCTTGACACGTTTTGTTTCTTTGATTTTGTTACATCTTACATTATGCAGAACTATTTTTGTACAAATTGTTTAAAAGTTATTTATGCAACGTTTGAATGCATACCAGTGTTTTTATTGTTTTGAGATTGCCAATCTTCCTGATTTCCTTACAGTAGGAGAGAACTTAACCTGTACTTCATCGACACAACCCATCTATAAATGTGCCCAGATCTGACAAGGTGGGCTGAGACCTTCCACTTAAAAGCATGTTTAACTGGAAGTTGAGAGCCTGCTTTTATGTCAAGAAGTTACACGAGCATGTTGTGGATAAATGTAAATTATAGTCGAAGTAAGACACTTTGCCCAGTTTCCTCTGTATAGAGTTCACTTTTCTCAAATTTTAAAATGTCACCTTCAGCCTTTGCACTCAGGAGGGTCTGCCCAGCATGAGCTCTTGCACTCTACCTAGATCTGATTTACACAGTGAGTCAAGAAGTAGAATAAATGCTCCCACATAGCCTTTCTTTTCCTTTTTTCTCTCCTTTGAAGTGTGAGTTGAGTTCTCGTTTAGGTTTATAACATGGCTATTTCCTAGGTGTAAAGTTCTGCATTTATAAGTGCCATTGTTGTAAGGTGGTGTTTCCTAGCCCTCCCCTGACGCGGTTTTACCTTTGTTGAATTTGTATAAACAATTGTACAAAAAAGCCACTCTTGAACTTTGAGGGTTTTTGTTCTAGAAGTGGACTAGAAATTTAATTGGAAGGCCCAGAATCAGTAGAGTCTCAACGCTATTATACATTGTTTTGAGGCCAAAACAATATGATTTCTCCCTCATCTCAGAAATACAGTGGTCCTGGGGTATGCGATTTTCCTTTTCCTTCAGAAAGAGATTTTTTTCTGGCTAATGAAGGTCACGGGAAAGAAATACGCTATGATGGTGGCCACATACAAGAATTAAACACAGACTATCTTTTTTTTAAGAGTTTTTTTTTTTAATTGAAGTCTCGTTCTGTCACCCAGGCTGGAGTGCAGTGGAACACTCATGCAGCCTCAACCTGCTGGGCTCAGGCGTTCCTTCCACCTCAGCCTTCCAAGTAACTGGAACTACAGGCACATACCACCATGCCTGGCTAATTTTTTTGATTTATTGTAGAGACAAGGTCTTGCCAAGTTGCACAGGCTGGTCTCGAACCCGCCATCTCAGACAGTCCTCTCGCCTCGGCCTCCCAAAGTGCTGGGATTACAGGCATAAGCCACCACACGTGGCTGACACAGGCTTCTTTAAGGGCCAGCCAGGGTGGCTCACCTGTTTGGATGCCTCTTAAATGTACAAAGTAACTTCCATGGCCACTGCCATTACCGTAGGTTTCCCAGATTTGGGGGTTGAGTGTCATTTCCTCAGCCTCCCCGTAGAAGCAGCCACCACAGGCTTCCTGAAAGCCCGATCTGGCCGCATCGTCCCCAAGCGGTCTTGGGCCTTGATAGGGCTGCAAGAGACACTTTGTTATGAGGTAGCTTCCCCAAGAGGCCGGCGCAGAGACCAGTGAGAAGTAATTTGAGATTACAGAATTGTTTGAAAAGGCAGCCCTAGCCGGGCTCGGTGGCTCAGCCTGTATGTAATCCTGTGCCTTTGGGAGGCTGAGGTGAGTGGATTGCCTGAACCCGCGGGTTCGAGACCCGCCTGGGCAGCGAGACCTCATCTCTACAATAAGTAAAAAAATCAGCCGGGCGTGGTAGCGCATGCCTGTAAGGCTGAGGCAGAAGGATTGCCGGAGCCCGGCAGGTCGAGGCTGTGGTGGCCGGGAGCGGCCACTGCACTCCAGTCTAGGCGACCGAGTGAGACTCCAACTCAAAAAAAGAAAAAAAAAGAAAAGGCAGCCCTGCAACCTCATAGTCCTGTAGAGAAGCGACTGCTCCAGTGGATCCAAAGACAAGAATGGGAACCAGCTTTCCTCAGTAACCTTGCGAACGGTCAGGTTTCATATTTGTTCCCCGTATCTTTTTTTTACTTTGCCCTGGCAAAATGGTTTTACTAAAACGGGACAAAGAGCCCATCTAGATCCATGTCTCCTGTTAATAATGTAAATCTAAATACCTTTTCTGACTGAAACTCAAGACATCTGAAGTCACAGTACCCCAGAATTTACCTCAGGCATCCACTTGGACTTAAGATTAGTTCACACTATGGTTTATAAAAATATGGCTTCCCTTTGCAAGCCTGACTGTTCAACATGCAGCGTCCTATGAAAAGTCAAATTTCGATTTCCTTGGCAACCTGAGTTCTCTGAACCTCCAAATAAGATAGTTACCCTGCTGTCCAGTAAAGCCATCCTTAAGCATTACTTTATAGGTAATCAGGGCTTCAAAAGAACAGTTCCTGCAGTCACTCAGGAGTAGCCAACCTTCAGATGTATGGCTGGCTGCAGCTGGCACTGGTGAAGAAAACAGGGCTCTGGCTTAGCAGGCAGTGCTTCTCCTGTAGGCTTCCTGGACCATACAGGTCTGCTGGGGAGGGACTGCCAGGGTTGGAGATTTGAGCCACTATAGGGACACAGCACAGCAAAGGCATGGTTTCTCTCCAGGTTTTGGAGAAGCCACAGTAGTACAGTGGTCACAGACAAACTCCTCCCAAGATATGAACAATCTACACGATTGTACCTCAGCACAAGTCTGTACTTGCTGTACAGACCTTTTTTTTTTTTTTTTTTGAGTCAGGGTCTTGTGCATGGTAGGATCATGGCTCACCACAGCCTCGCCCTCCTGAACTCAGGCCATCCTTCTGCCCCAGCCTCCCGAGTAGCAGGGAACTACAGGCGCACACCACTATACTGGCTAATTTTGGAGGGGTCTCACCGTGTTGCCCAGGGTAGTCTCAAAGTCCTAGGTTCAAGCAGTCTTCCCATCTCAGCCTCCCAATGTGCTGGGATGACAGGCATAAACCGCCATGGCCAGCACTCTTGTCCTTAAAATGTGTGTCAGATGAGGCCAGCCTAAGCTAAATGCTACAAGCAGCCACTGAGTCCAAACGCCAAGTCTCGTGAAGTCACACAAGGACCACAGACCCAAGGGCGTCTGCTACGTGGCCCCGCTGCTTAGTAACTTAGAAAAAAGGCTGTCCCTTCCTCTAGGGAACCTGATGTTTACAAAGGAGACACCGGGGCAGCTCAAAAAACATCCTTTAAGTAAGTAATTTTATTTTTTGAGTTAGAGTCTCACTGTCACCCAGGCTGGAGTGCAGCGGCACACTCATAGCCACCACAGCCCCGACCTGCTGGGCTCCACCGATCCTTCCGCCTCAGCCTTCCAAGTTGCTGGAACGACAGGTGTGTGCTACCATGCCGCGCCCAGCCACATTTTTTCTTTACAACTAGCCAAACAAACTTTCTGCTCAAAGCACAGGGGCCTCTGCCTCCCTAAGTTCACAGGTATTTTCTGGTCTGTTGACTGATAAGCAGATTCTGAGCACCTGAGGGTATGTGTGTTACTGCAAAGTCAGAAGATAACAGTAGACTCAGCCTAAGCGAGGCATTTCTTAAAAACATCGGCCAGGCCAGGCACAGTGGCTAAAGCCTGCAATCCCAGCACTTTGGGAGGCTGAGGCAAGAGGATTGTCTGTGCTTGGGTTTGAGACCAGCCTGGACTACTTGGAGAGACCCTGTCTCTACAATAAATCAAAAAATAGGCCAGGTGCAGTGACTCACGCCTATAATCCCAGCATGTTGGAAGGCCGAGGTGAGAAGATTGTCTGAGCTCACGAGTTCGAGACCAGCCTGGGCAACTTGGTGAGACCTCATCTCTACAATAAATCAAAAAATTAGCCAAGTGTGGCATGCTCTAGCACATGCCTACAGTTCCAGCTACTTGGAAGGCTGAGGCGGAAGGATCACCTGAGTCCAGCAGGTGGAGGCTGCAGTGGCCGTGAGCGTGTCACTGCATTCCAACCTGGGTGGCAGTGCGACTCCAACTCAAAAAAAAACCAGAATTGCCCACATACTACCAACTGAACTGAAGCCACAGTTCTCAACTCAACCAAAAACACTCCCCGAGTGTGCTGGACCTGAAAGAGAAGAGATTTCAAAACCTTTTCGCATAAGCTAATATCGTAAGTTCCTCCTTTGCTGTGCGGTACTGGAAGGGCTAAGAGAAGCTGGCGTTAGAGCTAGACTAAAGTTCTGACACGGCCACTTCACAAGTGTGAGGTTTTTGACAAGTCTAACTTCTCAGAGGTAGGGCTTATCAAAGAAGCCAGGCAGTCTCTCTTTCAGCATGCTGCTTTGACTGTGGAGATACTTATACAGCACCTAGCACAATACCTGGATACGGGGAACAGCAAAACAGTAGTTATCCTTACTGCCAAGCAAGCAGAGGTGAGCAGTGGTTCGTGTGACACCTTCAAAGGTGTTCCCACCATCTCTTTGAAGAAGGGTGCCAGACCAGGGCACAGATACCCATTCGTGCTGTATGCAACTGAATTAGGAGTGGATCAAGACAGAGGAAACAGAAGCTTTTAAAATCTAATTTTATTCCTAAAGTTGAAATTAGCTAGCGGACAGCACTGAAAATACACCTTCACTATACAAAACTTGTGTAAACGGATTACACATTAATAAAGAATTTAGCACACACACTTCTAGTAAAAGAAGCTAGATGCAGCCCTTGCTATAAAAAGCTGTACCTGAACAAAAATGGACATGTTTAGTCTAAGGCCCTGGCAGTTGACTATAGAATGTCAGTTCCCAATTACGTTTAAATGCAGAAATAGCAACAATGTGGAAACTTACATTCATCAAATATTAGCATTTAAAATATACATGACTAATAAAGTGAACATTCAGAGGGGCCACTGCTCAGCATGTTCCACGTCGGCCACTTGTGGACAGTGATCTCATCCAGAGAGAACAGAAGTTCCAAACATCCGAGTAGTTAAAAATAAGATGAGGGCAAACAGAACAGGCTAAATGTCCTCCAAAGACAGCAGTAGCTGCCCCCATGTCACACACAGTCTAACAACTAATGTTCACGGGACTTGTGACAAAGCCCACCTGAACCTGGAAAGTCATGTGTCCGCACGCAGACGGGCTCATGGCATGAAGCAGTGTTTCCACAACTTAGGAGGAAACTTTCTGTCCCCTGTTAGTATTGAAAATAATTTTTAAAAATAGCGTCAGCCTTGGAACAGTAAGCTTTCCATCCCTTCTGTGCACTGAAACGTTTGGGATCAGGTTCAGGGGCGAATGTCCCGATGGGGAGCCTCGGTTTCAGGACTTGAACACGTGCACGGCTCGCACCACGTACTGCCGGCAGATGGGACACTCACTCATGCGCTTGCCGCACTTGGTGCAGGTGACCATGTGCCCGCACTCGAGCAGAACACAATCGATGACGGCATCCATGCAGATGCGACACAGGCTGTCGTCTTCTTCGTCCTGCAGCTGCAGCCGCTCGCCATCTGAAAGGCACCAGAGAGCTGGGCCCTCGGCCGTGGCCAGCCACCGCCCACCCGCCTGGCCGAGCAGCCCCCTGGCCGCTGCAGACCCAACACCAACCGGTGCTGTAAAAGGCAAACTCCCAACGTCTGTACCCTTTGGATCACCGCACCTGAAATGGAATGGCAACACCTACGCCTCAGGCTCTGGGAGGAATAAAATGCTTGAAGTGCCCAACGACTGGCAGTGCCTTATTTCTATTTTGCCTCTTTGTGCAACGTATGGTGTCTGTGATAAGGATGTATTACTTCTGTAACTAGAAAAAGGAACAGTAGCCCTAGGATGGCCTTCAACTCATGGGCCCTGGAGCTAGGACGCTATCAGAATTTCAGCTCAGTTGCCCAGCTGTGTGGCCATGGGAAAGACAGTCTCAGGAGCTTCATCTAGGTAGGAAAGGAGCCTTAGTTCACACTCACAGGAAAGGTAGGAATAATGATACACCAACTAGCAAAGGATCTCCTCCCCCACCCCTAGCTCTAGAAGCATCTCAAGCCCTCTGCGTTCCTGACCCTGTCGAAGTCTAACTAAAGAGGGACAGGTCATCCTGCCTCTGTGCCCCAGATTTAGGTTCTGAGAAAATCCAGGCTGTGAGTGAGAAAGGCAATGAGTGAGTTTTACAAATTAACTGCAGCCTAGATATGGCCATAGATCTGTGGGCCTGGAGACTTTCCTTTCTACAGGTCAGAGAGCATCGATGGAAATCATAAATACCAGTTGAAACAGAACAGGAATTCAAGCTTACAGGACCAGTAAGTCTCTGTACCTAAGAGAAATAAATGTTGCACAGCCTGCCATGTCAAGAGAGTCTTGTAATCTGGGATCTTAGTTCATAAGACTGTCAGGGCTTTAAGGGACAATCTTGGCATAAATGCCAGTCAAGTTGGGAGAGTCCAGGTGTGCTCAAAACATGTGTTCTATCCAAGCAAGACATGAACCAGGATTAGATTCAGCAGTGAGTCAGGAGAAAGACACCTTGCAAACTATGCACGCGCTGGCCTCCTGCACCATAAACTCCTTGAGGGTGGGCGTGGCCATGTATTACGGTCATGCGCTGTACATAGTTATTATTGATACTTATGAAGCAAACTGACTTCTTGAGAACGCTCACTGCCAGAATACTCTTCCCAGCCAGTAACCCCGGACCTCTGAAGGCCCAAAGGATGAAAACTGCATCTACCACTGTGATGTCATCTTAAAGTAGGTGTGCCAAAACACTTTGTGCATATTCTGGGCATAAACCTGTTCATCAACAAAAGCTGTATTATAACAAGCTTTTAAAGAAGAAAACTCAAGATGATAAAAGTTAATGATGGCAGTACTGTGTAAATCTACATAAGAACATAAGAGTTGTCAGTCTGAACACCAGTGAATTATTTTTTCTTGCCATAAGTGCCCTGTGGCTTGGCCCTGTTACCAGCTGAGGGAGGATTTCTATGCCACATTTCATCAATAAATAGTTCAGAAACTTATAACCTCAGCTTTATGTGACTTACACAGAAACCTACAAATACTTGATGCTAAGAACTATTTAACATCTGGGTTATGGGAAACTTTCCCCTCACTGGTAGGACTGAAAAGCTACAGTGGAGATAACCAAAGTACTGGACAGCCAGAGGGCTGAGAAAATAAGCATTTTTATAGAGACAAAGAATTTCAATAGGGTTCTTTTTTTTTTTTTTTGAGTTGGAGTCTCACTCTGTCCCCCAGACTGGAGTGCAGTGGCCGCTCCTGGCCACCGCAGCCTCGACCTGATCCTTCCGCCTCGAGTAGCTGGAACTACAGGTGTGTGCGACCACACCCGGCTAATTTTTGATTTATGGTAGAGATGAGGTCTTGCCAAGTTGCCCAGACGGGTCTTGAACCCGCGGGCTCAGGCAATCCATTCACCTTGGCCTCCCAAAGTGCTGGGATGACAGGCTGAGCCACCAAGCCCGGCCTTCATTAGGGTTCTAATAAGTAGTTAATTATAGTAAGAAAAACCAGACTGAACAAATAGTTATCTCACTCACTTAGCAACGGTGGTCTCAGAGCCATAATGAACTTCACATAATGAGCTTATTAACAGATCTATAAACAGGCTCATGTAACAGAATTAGTTTATACTCAGTGAAAAGGTACACAGCCTTCTCAAGACTAAATTTGACTGAACTGTGACAGAATCAGCCCCGTTCTAAAGCCTTAAAGGACGCTGCAGAGAAAATCAGGGGGAAAAAAAATCAACCTACATGACTTTTGGTTTTCTTCATTCTCTTTGTATAACCGGTTTACTTTCTCTACCAGCTCCCATTTTTCACAGCAGCCAGAATAGTTGACAAAATTGCGAGCCAGGATTTCCTTCAGCTGCCGCACACTCATCCCTTCCACGTCTTCAAGGCTTGACAAGTCAGACAGGGAAGCTCTCACTCTCTCCCTGGAGAGCCCCGGAGTCTGAAATCACAGAGCACCCATTACCACTGGCCCCCTGGTCCGACTCCCCTCACCCCAGACTCATCACGGGCCCTGGGTGTTCTTCCCTGGCTTCTCGGCAGTCCTTGAAGCGTTTTAATACACTGACCCACGTTCAAACCAGAAGGCGTGTCCTGTGCTAGTCTAGAGAAAATCCACACAGGCACCTCCCCTTCCTGCCAGACTGACACGCCAGGGAAGCCCGGTTTACAGGAGGCCTCACCTGCCCCTCCACGTTTTCGTCGTCGTCGTCGTCGTCGTCGTCGTCGTCCTCATCGTCATCTTCTGTGTTGGTTGAAGCTATTTCACTTTGTACCTACACTTACACAATGTATCTGATTAGGTCAGGAACCTTTATTTTCCTGATGGTATCAACCCATGTTTATCACCAGAGAGAGCCTTTTCACAGACCCTCTCTCAAGATGACTTCAAAGCGCCAGGCTCGGTGGCTCAGCCTGTCATCCCACGCTTTGGGATCCTGAGGTGAGTGGACTGCCTGAGTCCGCAGGTTCGAGGCCCGCCTGGGCAACTTGGCAAGACCTCATCTCTACATAAATAAAAAATTAGCCGGGAGTGGTAGCGCACACCTGTAGCTCCAGCTACTTGGAAGGCTGAGGCAGAAGGATCGCCGGAGCCCAGCAGGTCAAGGCTGCGGTGGCCGGGAGCGGCCACTGCCCTCCAGCCTGGGTGACAGAGTGAGACTCCAACTCAAAAAAAGATGACCTAAAAGCCAGCATGATCCATGTCTTCTTTGGCTCCAAAAGATCTGGGCCCTGCAGGACGGCATAAAGAACTTACCTTCCACAGTTATCTCAAAACACAAATCCCTGTGTGTGCACATCATTTATTACATCTAACCAGAGTATTAGCTCCCTAATAAAGTCTCATAATGGAATGCAAAGCCACCAAGGATGGAGATGGCACTACATCATTATCAAAGCATCTGCAAATGGCTAGTTTAACTGGAGTCTCTAAGATGCAGACAGAAAAAAGTTAAAGCTCTGACTAGAGTAAAACTCTGACTAGAGTCAGGGATATCTGATGTGAAAGATCTCGGTCCTCCAAACATTGTACTTAGACATTTTAATTCCAAAGAAGGCTTTCTAGACTTCTTTACTGATGGCTCATACTAATTCTAGCTTTTTAAATTCCTCAACAATCAGGGTACTCTTTTCTTTAGGAAAAACAGAACTCCCTTCAACTTGGGACATGTCCCTGCTTTCACATCTTTCGACTGTATTTTGATAATAGCCCTACAACTGCCTAGGTCAGCTCCCAATTTCAAATACTCCACCCTGCTGATTCACAGGCTCCGTACTGTAGCATCCAACAACCCATACCACATGTACCTAAAAGTGGTACAAAAGTCAGATGTGACTTATGTTTGCATCATAATTATGCCATTTCTCATTTGGGAAAATGATAAAACTCCTGGCTTGAATTTATCTAATTTACGACTATAGTCATGTGTGGCTTGCTGACAGGGACACATTCTAAGAAATGCATCCTTAGGCATTTTCGTCATTGTGCAGTCATCACAGTGTGGACTTCCACAAACCTAAATGGCACAGCCTGCACACTAGACTATGTGGTGGAGCCAGTACACCCTGGCTACAAATACAGCACGTGACTGTCGGAGGGCTCTAGGCAAGTGTAACACAACGGTAAGTATTTGTGCATCTAAACATCTCTGCCAGGCGCAGCAGCTCACGCCTGTAATCCCAGCACTTTGGGAGATGGAGATGAGAGGATTGCCTGAGCCTAAGGATTCGAAACCAGCCCGGGCAACTTGGTGAAACCTCGTCTCTACAATAAATCACAAAATTAGCCGGGCGTGGTGACATGCGTCTGTGGTTCCAGTCACGTGGAAGGCTGAGGCAGGATTGCCTGAGCCCAGCAGGTCGAAGCTATGGTATGGTGGCCCTGAGCATGTCACTGCACTCTAGCCTGGACAAGAGTGACACTCTGACATACAAAAATAAAATACCTCTAAACATAGAAAAGGTACAGTAAAAATGCCATATTATAGTCTTATGGGACTACTGTTGTATACGTGGTCCACCACTAACCGAAACATCATTATGGGGCATATGACTATATTTGGATGACAATTAGACCAAATTTCCCTCTGCATTTATTTATTCATTAAAAACAGGGTCCTGCTATGTTGTGCAGGCTGGAGTACAGTGGCTATTCATAGGTGTGATCACAGCACACTGCTGCCTCAAATTCCTGCACTGAAACAATCCTCCTGCCTCAGCCTCCCGAGTAGCTGGAACTACAGGCTCACATCACTGCACACACCTCCCTCTGCTTTTGATAATCCCTTTCTTCAGGGAATAAAATTAAATGTGAAGACTATTTAAAAGTTCTGATCAAAACAATCCTCTCAGCATTTCAGAATCACTCTTGTATAAACAAATATTAATTACAAGTCCACTTGTATGTTATTTAGTCAGGATGTCCAAGGACCTCACTGGGACAATGATACTAATTAAAATGAGTAAACAACTACATTTGCCCACTAATTCACATGGCTCTTTCATGATCTAAATTAGAACAATTTCACCACTGTAAATGGTCCTTAGGATAACTTACACTACTGATGGTTTCTATGGCCACTGACACTCGTACAAATAGCCCTGCAAATGTGTCTCTGCTTCTTTTTCACAGCATGGCTTCCACAGTTAGTGTTTAACTATGTAAGACAGGGAAACTGAGGTAACTACAGCCAAGAGATTGATGAGCTATTTTGGAATCCTTTCGATAGCAAACTTTGGAGCCACCTAGCACCTAGCACTGCGACTCCATATGAGGAGAGCCTGCAAGTGCAGAGTTCAGCTGGGCACGGCGCCTCTGCTCCAGCATGTGACGTCCAGTTTATCTGAAGTTAGCAGGCCCTAAAAGCCCCACCACAGATAGCCAAGAGTAAGTGTGGCAGGCCCGGGTATAATTAACTACCCCCCATACCTGTGCCAGTGTGCCAGATCTGGAGGTCCGGTCTCCATCCATGAGCTCTCCCTGAAAGGAAGACATAGTAGCAGAGGGGGCTGTGTAGTTTGAAAACAATGAATGTGCAAAAAAGCTAGAAGTCTGGGACCTTGCAGAATTCAGGCTGCTTGTGTCCATGTCGTCCTCAGAGCCTAGTCTACGATGGCACAGTATGAGATCTACCAAGTCTTCTTTCTCACGACAAGTATCTATCGGTATATTTCGAAGAATGAGATACTGCCGTAGATCCTTCACTTTTAGTCGCATTAACTGAGGGCGCTGAAAGGCTGTCTCTTGCAGTAAGTGACAAGTAGAACATCTACGGAGATTTTCTTGTAAGACTGAGCAAACGGAGCAAAAATCCTTCTTGCAGTCACAGCAAATATGCTAAAGAAAGAGAAAAGAAGCATGTAATGATAGCAAGATATAAGCCATTTTGAAAACATGAGTTTTCTTTTTGCCTTCTATTAAAATTTAATTTTCGTTCTTATGAAGTCCCCAGTGGCACCAGACTATTTTCACAGGCACTGGAGTATTCCAAAAGCCGTGAAAATCAAAATAGGCACTGCCAAGGCAGTGTGGATTCACGGAAGTTCAAACATAGCACTTTAAGAAAAACATATATTCTTGTGTTCATGAATTAAATCCTTTCCACCCCTTGGTACAAACATGTAATTAGCAGAACAGAGCTGACTTGAACCACAGGGAGCAGAAAGCACGAGCATCACAAACTCTTTTCCTACGTGAACGATTTGCCCTATTTAAAAAGAAGGAAAAAAGTATAACACAGAGAGAGGGAAATAGAACTGATCTCTCAACGTGAATCCAAGAAAACAGAACCCACTAATACAGTAACCTGCAACCTACAAGACCTTAATCAGAATCAAAGCCATTCCAGTAGAGAAACTTAAAAAGGACATTGAGGCCAGGTGCGGTGGCTCAACCCTATAATCCCAGCACTTTGGGAGGCCAAGGCGAGAGACTGCCTGAGCCCAGGGGTTCGAGACCAACTTGCGCAATGTGATGAGACCCCATCTCTACATTAAATTAAAAAATTAGCTGGGCATGTGGCGTGCTCCTGTGATTTTTTTTCTTTCTTTCTTTTTTTTTTTTGAGTTGGAGTCTCACTCTGTCACCCAGACTGGAGTGCAGTGGCCGCTCCCGGCCACCACAGCCTCGACCTGCTGGGCTCCGGCGATCCTTCCGCCTCAGCCTTCCGAGTAGCTGGAATTACAGGCATGTGCTACCACGCCCGGCTGATTTTTTGATTTATTGTAGAGATGAGGTCTCGCTGCCCAGGCGGGTCTCGAACCCGTGGGCTCAGGCAATCTACTCACCTCAGTCTCCCAAAGGCGCAGGATTACAGGCTGCGCCACCAAGCCCAGTTCATTTGAGAGTTAAGAATAGGGTTGGGGATACATTTTTTGAAATTCTAGATCACAGTTACAGAAATCATTTCTGAATAAAACTGCAGACTAATACATCTTTTGCTTCAGGAAATAAGCATCACTAGGAGGAATCAAATGGTACCAACAGGTCAGAGTTCAGGAGGAAGGATGCCAGAACACCGTGACAAGTAACAATATCTAGTCAGAAAAGTTGAGCAGTAGCGTAATCCCTTCAATGAAGTGTTTTTCTAAATTGAAAATGGTTAATGGGACTAAACTTTTTATATTTTTATAAAAAGAAATGATTCATTAGCTATTCGCAATAACCCGCAATCGAGAATGCTGATCCACGTGTCTTGTTATGTAACATTTCATCCAACTCACCTTCTTTCTAAAGACTGAAAATGAAAGTCCACAGGCTTTGCAAACAATATTAGGCCCTTCCGTAGCTGCTGGTGGGTACGTGGAGAAATCAGGGTTTGGTGTAAATCTGAATGGACCAGTGGCTCCTGCGAATCCTGACTGCTGGCCTCTGACAGCTCCAGTTCCCATGACTTCATTCAGCAGCCCACAGCAAGAGGCCCACATAGATGTGGCACCCGCCTAAAAAGGAACAAAGTGCCATAGTTTAAAGCTAAGTGGAATCTGGGCTTTCTGGGATCCTTAGGGAATGATATTCTGGAGAGGTAAGTTTGCCCTAAATTACTTTGAGATTACTATATTCCTTTGGGCACCAAAATTTCAAGCTATTTGGAAAGAAATAATTTTCTGGTATTTCCAAAGACTATCTGGCATTGGAGATACTCATGATATCTTGTTAAACAAAGGGAAAAGATACAACATGATCCAAATTTTGTTAAAAAGAAAAAAACAAATACCCATCCAAATACACAAAGATACATGTACGCATGCACAGAAAAAAACAAATGGACAGACATATGTTCTATGCTAAGTTTGGGACATGCTTATACAAAAAAGTTGTTCATTTTTCACCTGAAATTCAAATTTCCCAGGCATCCTGTATTTATCTGGCAACCTTAGCCTGGTGGCTACTACACTAAATGCTGCAATTCTGTAGGCTGGGTCAGATTTTCCCAACTATTATTTAGCAGAAAGAACATGAATTCAAATTACTTAATTTTATTCAATTTCTCATATTTGTAGCCTGATATACTATAGCATATATAATTTTTTTCATTTTTATTTATTTTTATTTATTTCTGAGTTGGAGTCTCACTCTGTCGCCCAGACTGGAGTGTAGTGGCAGCTCCCGGCCACCGCAGCCTGGACCCGCTGGGCTCCGGCGATCCTTCCGCCTCAGCCTTCCAAGTAGCTGGAACTACAGGTATGCACTACCATGCCCAGCTAATTTTTTGATTTATTGTAGAGATGAGGTCTCGCCAATTGCCCAGGCAGGTCTCGAACCCGCAGGCTCAGGCAATCCACTCACCTCAGCCTCCCAAATCGCGGGATTACAGGCTGAGCCACCGAGCCCGGCTACCAAACATAATTTTCAATGACTTGATAACCATGCTGACATTCCAAGGTATGAGGGCCATTTGCCACTTCCACTAAATGGCCCAGAACTAACGTATTGCTTCAAGTTTTTTTCTTGTCGCGTCCCTCTGTGAGCCACCACAACTATCACTATACCTACCTGTGGTAACCTGTCTCTCTTTTTTACTGCAGTCTCAGAAACCTAATAACCATGCTTGTTAGAATACAGAAAAGAATAAACTTGCAGTGAGGGCCAAAGGCATTTCCCCATGTTTACAGTATAAAAGCTACAATGTTTAGAACTAAGAGGCTTTTGCCCCATGTCCTAATTCTGAAGAATATTCTAGAATCTAGATAATGTGATGGGTAATGGAATCTAGATAGTCGAGGTATTATTAATTAAAATGGCAGCACATAATAATGCCACAGTTCCATTTATTTTATTATCTGATTCTATCAAACATTTTTGTCCAATAAGCGCTTTAAAAAAAAAGACTTAAAAGACAATTCAGAATCCAACAGAAGGATGATGCTATTCTTGCTGACACTTGGAGTATGTTATTTTATATGAACAGGAGAAGGTACAGCAATAAGAAACCACAAGACAAGGTTCAAACAGTCCTAAGTATCGGAGTCACTGATTTAAGAATTATATGGTTTCACACTCTGTAATTCTCAAGAAATAGTGATGCCTATAAAAGGCAGGTAAGATGATAATTGATAGTTCAGACCTTTAAATGACTGTAAACCTGAGACTAGAGCCATGGTTCGCTTAAACATAAAAGCATGAAAATCCAGATTTACTAACAGTTAAAGTGATTGTTCTTTTAAGCAAAGGGTTCATAAAAGATTCATCCACAGTTCTTTAAAGTAAGCTCCCTCTCCACCTCTTTTTTTTTGAGATAGAGTATCACTCTGTTGCCCAGGCTGGAGTACAGCAGGACAATCCTGGTTTACTGAAGACTTGAACTCCGGGGCCCAAGCGATCCTGCTGCCTTCGCCTCTCGAGTAGCTGGGACCACAGGCACACATCACTATGCCCCGCTAATTTTTCTATTCTTAGTAGTCAGGGTCTTACTTTGTTGCCCAAATGATCCTCCTATCTCAGCCTGCCAAGGTGCTGGGGATTATAAGTGTGAGCCGCTATTTTTTAAAAATTCAATTTACACATTTGGGGGGCAGGAGTAGGGGGAAATACCTCAACTGCAGAAAGTATCACCAGGATACCTTCTTCTTCATTCTAGGAGTCAAAAGAAGTTTTAGCTTCCTACAGACTTAGCCACTAAACAATTAAACAGCTCTCTTAGCATTTATCCCCCTCTTCTGATTCACGTGTCAAGCTGCCGCTGCAACTAGACTAAAAGTTCTTCATGGACAGAAACTTCTTTCTCCCCCTGCAGCATCTAATTCTGCCATCATATGACTGAAAAATAACTGTGTAAAGGTAGCTATTATTTTTTATAGACAATGTAATATTTAAATTTTGCATGTTACTTAGAAAGTTCGAACTGTGTTTTCTCGGTAAATAATAAGGGTAAAAGATTCTGACCTAGCAGTTCAAAAATCTCCAGTGACACACCCTTTTAAAAGCAGCACTGTCAGACATTTTGCCCTTTCTACCAGAGACAGTTTTACAATGGCTAGACTGTTTCAAACCATGTTAATGAGTATGAGCATTAAAATTCTAGGCTGAAGCCAGGCTCGGTGGCTCAGCCTGTAATCCCAGCGCTTTGGAAGGCTGAGGTGAGTGGATTGCCTGAGTCCGCGGGTTCGAGACCTGCCTGGGCAACTTGGTGAGACCTCATCTCTACAATAAATAAAAAAAAACTAGCCAGATGTGGTAGCGCGTGCCTAAGTTCCAACTACTTGGAAGGCTGAGGCGGAAGGATCACCGGAGCGCAGCAGGTCGAGGCTGCAGTGGCCGGGAGCAGCCACTGCACTCCAGTCTGGGCGACACAGTGAGACTTCAACTCAAAAAAAAAAAAAAAATTCTAGGCTGAAAATATTCTTTTAAAACTGGCTCTGGTGAAGAAAACAGAAGGATTTATTTTGGGAAAACAGGTGGAATCTCTGGTATATATCAATTTTGGAGGCTGATAATTTTGTGTCATTCCTCCTGTTTCTATAAAAGGGAGGGAATTTCCTCTTTGTTCCCCAGAAGGAAAATAATGAAAAACACTTCTTTCATTTTTCATTCATTTCATTCCAAAATAAAAACTGAAAAAGCAAACAAACAAGCCCAAGATAATCTCCAAAGTGTCCCAGGCAAAAAGATGCTGCTATAACCCAGTATGTGGTACCACTCAGACTCATACTACTTAGTTGTCAGCCAATACCATAGAAGGAATGAAGAAACGACTGAAAAATCTAGGCTGCAGCCTCATTAGAATCTGTGAACTTAAATTTGCACGAATTCTCCCAATAAAAGCATAATCTCCCAATAAGAGGATACTCTGACCATCATATCGAAGGGAAAATCCCCCTACTCATGGTTCTCCTCTGTAAGAGTAGTATTTACAACACTTCAGCCTTCTTGAAAGTTCAGAAATTTGAAACAGGGGAAGCCTCAGTCACTAGTTTATCTGAACTACCTTTCTTTCCTGTCCAGCATATTTGAAAAATTCAATTTTCATTCTCCCTTCATGCCCCATGTTTTCTGGCACCCAGTGATGAAATGAAGGCGCTTTTTCTAGCGATTCACTCCCCCGTCAGCTTCTTGGGAGCATGTATTCTAGTCCTGTACCTTGGCTGCTGTTGTCACTGTCTCTTGCTAAGGAATTGCCTAGGCCTGTTAAACTGCTCTGACGACAGTGCCTCTCAACCTTGGCTATGGTTGGGCTCACCAGGAGGTCTTTTTTCATGTTTTGTTCTGTTCTTAGTCAGTTTCACTCCATCACCCAGGCTGGAGTGCAGCGGCACACTCACGACCACCACAGCCTCTATCCACTAGGCTCAGGCGATCCTTCCACCTCAGCCTTCCAAGCAGCTGGAACCACAGGCATATAGGCACATGCCACCATGCCCAGCTAATTTTTAAAATTTATTATAGTAAGCCGGGCTCGTTGGCTCAGCCTGTAATCCCATGCCTTTGGGAGGCTGAGGTGAGTGGATTGCCTGAGCCTGCGGGTTTGAGACCCCCCTGGGCAGCGAGACCTCATCTCTACAATAAATCAAAAAATCAGCCGAGTGTGGTAGTGCACACCTGTAATTCTGGCTACTTGGAAGGCTGAGGCGGAAGGATCGCCAGAGTCCAGCAGGTGAGGCTGCGGTGGCCGGGAGCGGCCACTGTACTCCAATCTGGGCGACCGAGTGAGACTCCAACTCAAAAAAAAAAAAAAAATACTGATGCTTAGGTCCCAGCCCCAGAGACTGTAATCTCACTGGTCTAGGGTACAGCCTGGGCACCAGAATTTTTTTAAAACTCCCTAGGTGATTCTGATATACAGGCCAGATTAAAAGGTTAAGGCCTGCTCAGTCAAAGAGAAGATGTCTTCTTCCTGCTCACACTGTTGCACCTGGAACAACACCTTCCAAAGACTCTGGACCAGAAGGGGCTCTGGTTACTTCCAAGGCCTCTAGAGTTCTGGGACTGACACCTCCACCATGTGCTATCCAAGACCCATCGATATTTTTTTCCCCAGAAGTGGGATATGCTTTCAGTGTTTCATGTCCCTCTATGGTTTCACCCAGTTCTTTCAGAAAGGGTCAGCTGAGTTTATAACGACTTAATTCTTAAATCGGTTCCTTTTCTTTTATCCACATATTGGCCTGAAACTTTTGTTGGAATTTGGTGTGTTCCTTCATTTTATTTGCTCTTTCCTTTTTAGCCAAACTCTTATCTTTTAGCTTACTCCTCTACATGTTTTCTTGTATGAAATCTCCAACACTGAAAGTCAGTAATTTCTGGGTCTGTCAAAAGCCACAGTCATTCAAAGTCTTTCTGTCCTTCACCTCAAAGTTGAAGAATCTACCCAGAAGATAGATGGAGGCTTGGACTCTGTCTACTTGGCTCCTCTTTGGTATGTTTCATCTTCCTGCACTTTCGCATAAAATACCAATTTCATAAATTTCTTCTGCATATCCCCTCAGGGCAAAGGCATTACAACCTACAACTGTCACCTTGATACTCAACTAATAATGCTTGAAGTATCTCACACTGATCTTTCCCTTTTCAAATCTGTCCAAATTTTCTGTTACTACTTGACAGACCCTATAAAAGCAACTGGGTAACTATTTAAGAGACCATTTTCCCGACAGTTTATTGAATCTGGCTGTCAAAATGGAGGTGGGAACGTGGTGGGGAGACACATGCCGGTTTATCCTCCGAGTTCCTGACTCCCTGCCTCTTAGGTTTCCTTGAACCTAGTTACCATATCTGATAGGGCAATAACCAAACAACTTCCCTCTTTTGCATCCTCCCTTTAAAAACTTTAGAGATCTTAGCTCATGTTCTTTCTTGTTCCATTTCTGCCTTCCCTACCTTTTAAGATCTTCCTCCAGATAAATCAGCCTGGATTCCTTTTTTTCCTTCACTCACTGCTCCCACTTTAAGAGTAAGATTGAAGCACATTCTCCAAACTCCTTCATTTCCTCCTAGATTTTCTGGGCAAACCCAATTCCTAGAAAGACAGTATTCTAGGCCCCATCTTTGGCTTCTGAATTTGCAATAAATTCGAGTTGTTGCTCTACTTCCAACTGTAAAGAGACACATTCCTTAGATAAGGGCCCTAATCCATCTTTTGCTCATTGAAAAAAAACTCCTCCTCCTTTTTCATGAGTAAAGCCAAAGCCTAGATCTCTGAAAACTAAAGCCATGATCTGGGCTTACATGAACACAGCTGACAGCAGGACTCTACCGGCTATGCCACATGAATCCAAGAGGTTAGAAAGAACAATAATCTGTAAAGACAGCTAAATTTCCTCCCTAGACTATGAATGTAGTTTAAAACATAGAGAATAACAGAATGAGGCAACTATCTGCCTATGCCTGGCACAAAACTCCAAGCTCAGGGAATGTAGCTGTGTTTGCAGTTTATTTTCTAGCCATTAATGACTACTGAAAATAAATGGTTTTTTCTTAATAGCCTAATCCAGGCATGTCCAACCCACAGCCTATGGGCTGCATGCAGCCTAGGACAGTCATGTGGCCCCACAAGATTTTTTAATATCATGTGTTTTTTAGCATTTATTTCCTTATGACCCCATGTGTAGTTCCATTTTTGAAATTCACAACCAACCTTATTCATCACATTTGGCCAGCGCATACATTTGTGAGCAGCTGTTTTCAATTATGAAGCACAAGAAGAAAAAATTCGAACAAACATTTTTGACAAACACCTCGAGAACTCATTAAAAACTTCAATCACTTCATCAAACCAGACATTGATAGATTTGTTTTACAAAAACAAGGTCTGAGCTGGGCTCGGTGGCTCAGCCTGTAATCCTGCGCCTTTGGGAGGTTGAGGTGAGTGGATTGCCTGAGCCTGCGGGTTCAAGACCCGCCTGGGCAACTTGGCGAGACCTCATCTCTATAATAAATCAAAAATTAGCCGGTCATGGTAGTACACGCCTGTAGTTCCAGCTACTTGGAAGGCTGAGACGGAAGGATGGCCTGAGCCCAGCAGGTCGATGCTCCGGTGGCCGTGAGCATGCCATTGCACTCCAACCTGGGTGACAAAGTGAGACTCCAACTCAACAAAAAAACAATAAAACAAGGTCAAATTTCCCACTAGTTTTATATTTTTCTCTTTTCTAAACTTTGAAATAAAAAATATTTTAAAAAGTAAGTTATCATGTATATACACTAACTATATTATATAATTTATGTGCAGCCCAAGGCAATTCCTTTTTACTTGATGTGGCCCAGGGAAGCCAAAAGGTTGGACACCTTGATCTAATCCTTTTCCTACCCACCCTCTTAAGCCAAAACTGCTCCTGGTAGCAAGCAGCCATGGGACCATGGTCTGCCTGGTTTAGTTAAAAACCACATATCCTATTAAAAACTCATATGGCCCACAGAAGAAATTAAATTCTAAAACCTGTCAGGACTGCAAAGCCAGTTCTGACCTTTTCTTCAAAGCCAGTGCATCAAGATTTTAGGAAGGCAATAATATACCCTTTGGAGCCAATTAAGGTCTGGGAGCGCTCATCCATTGGGCGAAGGAAACTCACTCAAAAAAAAAAAAACAAAAAAAAAGCCGGGCTTGGTGGCTCAGCCTGTAATCCCGCGCCTTTGGGAGGCTGAGGTGAGTGGATTGCCTGAGCCCGCGGGTTCGAGACCCGCCTGGGCAGCGAGACCTCATCTCTACAATAAAATCAAAAAATCAGCCGGGCGTGGTAGCGCATGCCTGTAATTCCGGCTACTCGGAAGGCTGAGGCGGAAGGATCGCCGGAGCCCAGCAGGTCGAGGCTGCGGTGGCCGGGAGCGGCCACTGCACTCCAGTCTGGGCAACAGAGTGAGACTCCAACTCAAAAAAAAAAAAAAAAAAAGAGACAACTGGAAATTACAATGTTTGTTTTTTTTTACTGATAACACCAATTGGAGAACATGGCCATAACTCTGCAGCCAACTAACCAGTATTGATATGTTACCTAGTAACCAGCACAGCTGACCAAGAGTAGACTGTCACGTCGTTGAGTGGAGACCAGAATGCTATCCTCCTCATAGAAAGACAGATCTCAGAAGGTCCCAGAGAAAGTACTGAGCCAAGCATGTTTACGTCCTTCAGTGAAACCCACCAACATCAAAGCCCCTTTTTCCTCCATTAGCAGAAAGGCTGACAGTGTTCCTCCCATATTTTTCTCTCCAGGAGAAATGAATTAGAAATCCCCTCCCCTCTATAGGAACAAGGGAGAGGGAGGGGGAACAAACGGAGAGGGAAAGGACACAAACCTAAGCAATTTGCATGAGAGGGGGACTGACAGTTTCCAACACTGTGAGGCTTGTTTCCACAAGAATAAACCAACAATGTTATAAGCACTCTCAGGCTCCACAGCCAGATGCAAACAATGTAAGTCCATTCTGCATCATTATGTCCATCAACAAAAGCAAGAGGAAATGTATTCAGTTCCTTTGCAAGAGCAGCAATCCAGCTCTCTTTCTGGCACAGAGCCAGAATTTTCAAATGGCCTCAAGGTTCAGCTGTCTTTGATTCTGTGTGTGTATGTGATCTAATATGCTTTTAGAATCCCTGTGGAGAGAAAATATTTCAAAATGCTCAATTTAAAGAATTAAGTTCACCCAAATTCTGAATCCTATTCTAAATGACATCAGGATGTGATCCCTTGTAATCATTCCATTAAATATAATATTAACCAGTCAGACTAGAATGAATAAGAAAAGCTATGGTGGCTTCCATGAAGAATAAATGACAGCCATAAAGAGAGAGAGAAAGGGAAGGAGAGGTTGGGAAAGAAAGGGAGAAGAAGGGAGAGGGAAAGCTGATGGGTATGAAAATAATATAAAACTAAATGATCAAAGTCATCTGCTTTTGATTCAACTAGGTAAATATTAGTAATCACAATGTCATCTCCTAAGAGTCAACCTTGCTTGCCATAACTCTAAATTAAATACGGGGGTATGCACACAGTCATTTTAAGAATGAACCTAAGCCGGGCTCGGTGGCTCAGTCTGTAATCCCGTGACTTTGGGAGGCTGAGGTGAGTGGATTGCCTGAGCCCGCGGGCTCGAGACCCGCCTGGTAACTTGGTGAGACCTCATCTCTACAATAAATCAAAAATTAGCTGGGCATGGTAGCACGCGCCTGTAGTTCCAGCTACTTGGAAGGCTGAGGCAGAAGGATCGCCAGAGCCCAGCAGGTCAAGGCTGCGGTGGCCGGGAGTGGCCACTGCACTCCAGTCTGGGTGACAGAGTGAGACTCCAACTCAAAAAAAAAACAAAAGAATGAACCTAGAAGTTTCTAATTCAAGCAAAAGTTTCTCAGATGCTTTAAGAAACTATAATGACCAGACAAGCATTCAGTTATTCCACCAAAGACAGCATCCTCAGAGAACTCACCCACTACAGGTTTTGTTTTAAACTCTGGACAACTTTCAGTTAGCTAAAATTCATTGTCTTGTGTTACACAATAGGAAAAAGATGCTCCAAATCTTAGCCCAAGTGATATCAAAGTTTTATATCTTAAACTTCAGTTACATTATACTTTCTTTTTCTTTTCTTTTTTTTTTTTTTGAGTTGGAGTCTCACTGTCACCCAGACTAGAGTGCAGTGGCCGTTCCAGGCCACCGCAGCCTCGACCTGCTGCTGCCTCAGCCTTCCAAGTAGCTGGAACTACAGGTGCGTGCTACCACACCCAGCTAAATTTTGACTTATTGCAGAGATGAGTTCTTGCCAAGTTGCCCAGGTGGGTCTTGAACCCACGGGCTCAGGCAATCCACTCACCTCAGCTTCCCAAGGCGCAGATTACAGGCTGAGCCACCGAGCCCGGCTACGTTACACTTTCCTATAGAACTTTAAGCAAAGCAGAAGAAATAGTTGAGATAATAAGCAAAATGTTTATCCTATTTAGAAACACTTGAGAAATATATACTCCTTAGAACATGAAAGGATTTCTTATTGAAACTGCTACTTTAGCTGAAATAAATATGCAGGGAATTAATTGTACCTTCTTAATTACCAAGTAGCCATAAAGAAAAAAATACCATATATACAACAAAGAAAGAAATTCTAAATCTTAAAATTATTTTTCTCATATCATTTGGACATTAAACAGGTTACAAAAAGGATGATGCTCTTTCAAATGTAATATTTTTGGATAAGACACTGGCTGGATTGATAGATTTCTACAATAACGTGCTATAGATCATAAATGTTACCTTCCTCATGCTTGGGTTACTGTTTTCTTTTTTTAAACAGTATACTTGATCCTTAGCACCACTCCCCCACCTTTCAGAGAAAAAAAAAAGGAAGAGGAAATTATACTCAGTAGATTACTTTCTCCTTGATATCTCATTTTGAGCTTGGAAGAATACACAAGATTAGTACAATTAAGAGTAAGATCAACATAAATATGGAAATCCAGGAAGGAGGATTAAATCAAATTAACACAGGTCACCAATTAGAATTTTTTTTTTTTAATTCCTTATGGGAAGTTAATTAGATGTTACTCTATGGTTAAAGAGTCACTTGAGTCAGAGGTAAAACCTATTTCAAAACATCAGTTTCTAAACAAAAACAAGAAAATGAAAGGAAGAAAGTAAATACCCATCCACACATATGCTAAAACCAGCAGCTCCTGGATTTGGGGGGGGGAATGTACTTATCTAATTGCTTAGCTTTTAATGTAATTTTAATTCCACTTAGGAGTATCTCTTCACATTAACATTCATATGTCAGAATTCCATGACATCAGGAATCACTAACTCTGCCTGGAAATCGAAATCGACAGATAAGCATACCCACAACTAAACAATGTTAAAATAAATCAATATAAAATCAAACAAACATTTAACAGCCCAAATCTTAAATTTTGTGAATCTAGTTTCCTAAAAACAAAAGCATCATTCTTAACAGTCATCTTGCACAGACTGATGCCTATTCAGGTCTGCATTTTGCTTTCAAAAGTATATATCTTTTCTACATTTTCTTTTTTTTTTTTTGTGAGTTGGAGTCTCACTCTGTTGCCCAGAATGGAGTGCAGTGGCCACTCCCGGCCACCGCAGCCTCGACCTGCTGGGCTCCGGAGATCCTTCCGCCTCAGCCTTCCAAGTAGCTGGAACTACAGGCAGGCGCCACCGCTCCTGGCTAATTTTTTGATTTATTGTAGAGATGAGGTCTCACCAAGTTGCCCAGGCAGGTCTCAAACCCATGAGCTCAGGCAGTCCACTCACCTCAGCCTCCCAAGGCACGGGATTACAGGCTGAGCCATCAAGCCCGGCTGTTTCCAAAAATTTCAACTTAGAAAGTAGTATCTTTTGGGCATGGTGGCTCACACCTATAATCCCAGCACTTTGGGAGGCTGAGGTCAGAGGATCCCTTGAGCCCTGGAGTTCGAGACGATTCTGGGCAACATAGCCAGACCCTGTTTCTAGCCAAAAAAAAAATATCTTCCACTTAAATTCAAAAACATTTGTTATCCAAGAACTTGTTTGGACTAAACTTGTTCCTAATTCTCTCCTTCCATAGCTAGTTGTTTAATGGATCACAAATTTAATTTTAATAAAGAGTGACATTCTTTGAGGCATTATATATCAAGATCCTTGCTTTGTGTCTGGATCTTCACACAGCAGAAAATAAGTCTTTAGTTTTAGGAAATAAAGCTACTTCTAGATATTTTAATAGGTATTCTAAGTTGAAATAATATTTTATAACTAAACTGGGAAGAATAAACTCTTACAATAGCCTCCTACTTCAAGGTACAGTTCCAAAGTTACCTATCCCCCCCCCCAAAAAACTGTCTTGCTTTCTGTAGCCAGAAGTATCCTCTCGTGCTCCTGAGGGTTTTGCATGTATCCTTCTGCTTTGTTCTGTGGTTACTCGCCAATGACTCTTCTCTTCTGGATGGCTACTCCTTCTTAAAGGGCAGGACTGTATCTTGAATTACTTCTACTCACCATGTCTCCTTCTCGGCTAACACACAGGAAATGTTCAACAAAATATTTGCTGAAATTTCTCTAGCCACTTGACCCTCCTTTCTGTCTTCCAAGGTAAATCCTTGACGCTCTGGGAAGGCAGAGTTAACCTAGCAGCCACGTCTCTTATTTTCCTTACCCACACCAAGCGCACCTTTTCACTGAGATTAATGAAACAGCCTGTGTCTGAAAGAGTATCACCATCACCTTATGACTCATCCTACTTGGTGTGAGTTTGGCAGATGAACCAATATCTGAACCGACTGCCGCGCGCAGAGCTCTTTAAAACTCTCGGCGATCAAGTTGAGAGAATCATCTCCCCGAAGTAGGCCAGGATTCCCCCACCCCCCATTCCCGAAACGTCTCATCAGTGATGCTCCCACGCTCTCACTCCCACCTTGGAGAACTCAAGCTACCAAATTACTTGCTGCATACCTAGCGGCAGGGAGACGAATCGGGTCGGCTAGCGCTCCGGGTCACGGCCCCAGCGTCTAGCCTCCGAAGCTCCCCTGCGGGGCGGCATCCCGGCCCTGGGCCATCTCTAACCTGCTAGCCTGGACCCCGCCGCACCACTCCCTGCACCCCTCCGCTCCTCCTCGGCCCCGCGATGTCCCCGCCATCCGGGCTAGTTCAAGGACTCGGGTCGGGAGAGCGCACGCGGTGGGCGCG